ACTGTAGGTGATCTTTTCCCTTAAGATGCTAATAACGTCCCAAGAGGATAAAGTTAACGCATGGGAAGCAAGGAGAAAATTGCATGGTATGGATTATCGAAGTTCAGAGACGTTAGTATTTATTAAGCATCTACTATATTTCAGGTACTTTCTATGTTTCAGTGCAGTGCCTCATTTAGTTCGCATTATGTTTAATGCAGGGTCTCATTAGTTGCTAATGTTCTCATCAGCAGCAGTGATGTGAGGCTAGTGTTATCATCCCCATTTTCCAAAAAAAGGAAAAAGAACTTCAGAAAGGCTAAGTAACTTGCGCCCAGGGTCACACAGCCACTGAGCCATGGAGTCAGAATTTGGGCCCTGCTCTGTGTGCCTGAAAGCTTTCGTTCTCTCAACTATTCCAAGGTAGAAATAGAGCCAAATAGGCTAAAATCACCAGGGGAGGCCTTCCTGGAGGAGGTGGGAACTGGTCCAAGTCTTGAAATGTGGGTAGGATACAGATAACCCTCAGGGAGTAAGAGAATGAGGGCATTTTCGACGGAAGGAGGAGCCTGAGTCAAGCACAGAGGCATGACTGTGAAGCCTGCTCGCTGGTAGACCTGCTGGACAGGAGCAGAGGTTTCATGGTGGGGCTGGAGGAGATTAAGTCAGGAAGGGAGGGTAGGGCCAGATGACACCATCCAACAGCAGCTTCCTCTACCAGGAGGAAGTGGCTGCTTCTTGGCCTTCTCCTTGCCTATAGGAAAGGACCTCACCCTCAAACCCAGGTAATCCACTCCAGAAAACAATGCATGGTTTTCTACTCCCTGGGCCCCCCTCCACATATTTTAAAGAGAATGAGCTGAAGAGAGAGAGGTATTTTCGACAAGAGTATCACTGTGGCAATTCTCTGTCCCAGACTGGTAGTTAGTTAGGGCCACAGATGTGCAATTGGGTTGCTCAGGATGATGTGGGATCCAAACCCAGGCCTCCCATGTGGCCCTGCTTGGAGGAGCAGTAGCATCCTACCCTTCCATCCACTTTGTCTGGGCCCTCTTCTTTATTTTAAGTATTGTCTTCAAAGTCACATTCCCCAGACACTGGGAAGCCCATTTATCTCTTCCAATCCTTACCTGCTATCATAGCCTCTGCACTTGCCTGCCAACCAGTTTTTATGCACATAACATTATTTTGTGAACCTCTTCCAGGATAGGGACTAAATCATCAGGATCAGTCGGTCCTTAATTACAGGCCCTCCACTGGCCTCCCAACGCATGTAGGTGATGATGCCAGGGGTTATTTACAGACAATTTCTGAATTTGGGATAACAGCTTTCACTACTGATATTTCTGGAGGCCTTCAATGTGAGATCCGTAGGGACTGACATTACCTGGAACTTTGGAAGAACGTGTCTGCATTGTCTAGGGAATCCCTGGCTTCATAGACAGAAAAATAGTCAATACTGGATGATTTATTTTGAAATTTTCCCTCAAGAAAACGCACCTTGTCTACTGGAAATAAGTCAGCACTGTGGTCACAACTTAGTGAACACTCCTAGTACGGAAACCTCAACAAGGCAATGAAAAGCAGTTCTGGCTACAATGGAAAATAAGGCGAGCTCCTGCCAAGTAAGTACTTTGCAAACAACAGTGAAAACGGAACGGGTGAACTCGTGACCAGAGTCTACTCGTGCATCTCGGGAAAGTCTCGCAGACTCCGAAACAGAGAATTGAGGCCTGACACTGGTCCCGGGGGAGAAGGGCGTCCCTTTAAGAAGCGACAGGACCAGCTGGCCACACTACAGCTCCCAGAGATTTCCTGGCTGGCGTCCTGGCCCCACCCCCCAGCCTCCGGCCCCAGCAACGCGTGACGTCAGAAGAGGCTGAGGCTGCAGATTGGATGAACGACGCAGCTAGGTCAAGTCCAGTCGGAGGAAAGAAGTTTGTCTCCATGTGGAAACCATGTGTCTCTAGCTGGGAGGGGGAGGAGGAGGAGGCGGAGAAACTGAGATCAAGTGATTACAGGGGAACTCGCTGAAATGAAGGCGGAGAGGTTGTGCACCTGAGCCGGCCAGAATTGCCCTTTGCAGTAGTGACCTAAAAAAAAAAAAAAAAAGACGACTTGCACAACAAACAAAACCTGAACCTCCATCCCCCTGTCAGTAATAAGAAGAAGCTAGGATCCCTGCTTCCTTCCAAAAACCAGGGACCTGGGAAATGCTGGAATCCTATCGGAACGCCCAGATCCCTCTCCCTCCCCCAACGACTGAATGATGTAAGCGTTTCGGAAAGCAGAGCTCTGGAGCAAAACAAGCCCCGCGCGCGCGGAGCGACCCGCAGTGCCCGAGCCCGGCGCACGCACGACCCGCCCCCCGACTCGCGTTATTGCTGTGCACACGCGGACTGCCGTGACGCGCGGGCATTGTGTGCAGCGAGCAGAAAACAACGGCAAGCGCCGCCAGCGCGAAGAAGCGCCCCCAGTAAAACCATACAGATGTAGGGCCCGCGATTTTCGTACCGAGAGACCTAGCCTGGGCGGGAGTGGTGGGGAGAAGAGTGGGGAGGATAAAGTGGCCCTCGAGGGCTGCTCCGCTATGCAGGGGGCCATAATAGAGGGCTCGGTGGATGGTCGCACGGAGTTTTCTGGAGGTCACCCCCGCCTGCGACATCTGTTGGGGAAGGGGCGAGGGCCTGGAGCTGAGTCCCCCAGCCAAGCCGGGCACCGCGCAGCGCCCCACGCTCTCGGGGAAATCTGGGGGCTGTTGGCATCACGTCATTTAGAGCCAAACAGCAGCCGCGAAAAGAGCTAAAAATACTCGGGCGGGGAGCCGGCCGGAGGAGGGGGGTTGTGGGGCCAAGGGGCTGATTACGCACACGAAGTTGACTTTGACTGGGGCGCTAAGGCTCCAGAGCCCCTCTGGAGGGCTGGCGAGTTTGCAGCGCTAACGCCTCGGGAGAGGACCGGGTGGGAGCCCCTCAGCTCCACCAGCCTCTGGAGCCCGGCTCTGCGGCCGCGGGCCCGCCCCGCACTGGGCAGCCTGGCCCGGCGCGCCCGGCTCTCTGCTTACGTGACTGGTGGCCACGCCGGAGCCCCAGCACGGGGTAAACAAGGAGGTGGAGGCGGCCAGAACGGCAGGGGGCGGGGGGGGGGGTCTACGATTGTCTGCGTGCGAAAGGGGGGGACGCCAAGGAAGCTCCCGCCGCCACCCTAATACACCAGGCTGGGGAGGGAAGGGGGGCCAACCAGGTTTGCCACACACTGCCAAGGTGCCCTCTCTGGGTACACCCCCAGTCGGAGCCGGCGCCACGGGACAGACTCCAGAGAACCGGGGACCTGGGAAGGGGGTAGCTAAAGAAATTGCGCCCCTCCCCCCTGCAACAAAAGCAAACACACCAAACAAAACCACGTCTTCTCCCAGCTCCCCACCAGCTCGGGCTTTTCAGAAACTACCCTCCAGACGAATGCGCGCGCGCGCGCCCGCGCGCACACGCACACACACACACACACACACACACACACAAGCCCGCATGAATAATTGCAAAGCGATTCGGCTCCACAGCCTGCGATGCGCCTCTCTCGAAACCCAGGCACTCCGGGGAAACGAGAGAGAGGAGGAAGAACGCCGCCAACCTCCCGACACAAATCCTTGTTTTGGCCTTCCAGCGTCCGCACGATTGCACTGCCAACACCCGGGTACTTTAGCCCGGAGGGCCTGGGCTGTCGGTCAGCGAAGGTGTTTTAGTGTTGGAGGGCTGTTGTTGTGTTGGGGGGGGGGAGTTGCAAGATCTGACACGTTGCAGTTGGACCTTTCTCTCCCTCCCCCCTCCCCGTCTCATTGATCTTCCTACTTGTTCAGACAGATTAAACATCCCCGTTTCCTCCGGTCTCTCGGTCTGTGTGCTTCGGCCTCTTCCTCCTCCCCACAGCTATTATTCTGAGGACGGCGCTGGAGACACCGCACACGCGTGCCCCCGTTAGGGCTCTGAGCCGACTGCCTGGGGAGGGCTGGGAGACCGGCTGGCAGGGGCAAAAAGGAAATAAACAAACAGAAAACGGAGGCCAGGCCGGGTGGGCCCCCCAGCACACACACACCCCGCCCCACAGCGCTCTACTCTCCACCTGAATCCGGGGGTTGAGGGGAGCAGCAGAAATCGAACAGGAAGGCGTTTGCCTTCCTCGCCCTGCGCGCTCACTCGGAAGCCGTCATCCCAGAAAATAAAGAAACCACACACAACAGCCCACACCTTCTCCAACTATTGTTTGCGTGAGATCCCAAAGTTTCCTTCTAGCCACGTCTCCTTCGCCAAGTTTGCAGGGGGCAGGACGGCGGGTCCTGGGGGAGCTGCTGGCTTGGCCGGCCCGCTGGCCTGTTTCCTGGGGCGGGGGCGGAGGGGGCGTCGTGGCACCCCAGGGCACAGGAGGCGCAGGGGGCCGTGTCGTGGACGTGATGGCTCGAGCCCAGTGCTGCTTCGAGAGGGGAAGAAAAGGCGAAGTCGGCAGGAGGGCGAGACAGAGCCCGAGCCCATGCCGTGCAGAGCTGTTTGGTGGTGCTGTGGTTGCAGCGTGTCTGTGTTTTCCTTCTGGAACCCCCCGCTCTGCCTACGGTTTCCAACTTTCGGCTTCTAATCCTCACCCCACCCAGGAAGGAGCGACAGAAAAATAACACTTGTCTGCCTGAGAAGGCTCGGAGGGGAAAAAGGGAAGAAAGGCGACCTCGAAGAGATGAGCTCTCGGCTCAGTTGTCAGCAAACAACACTCCCCCGCGCTCGGCCGGGCGGTCCTCCAAGCCCGCCGCGGACGGACAGACCGCCGCACCGACAGGCCCCCCGCTCCCCCTCGCTCGTCTTTGTTACATCTTTCGCAGCTTTGTGCGTGCGTGTCCTTTCTCCAGTGTCATCGGCTTTACTGCCGAGAACTGGATGTGTGCTGAGGAGGTGGGTACGGGCCGAGCAGGCGACAGGGGTCGCCCAAGTGGGCGAGAAAGAGCGAGCGGGGAGCCGAGGAACTGGGGCCCCCAAACTTACTTTTGTTTTCTTTCTCGATCTGCTCCAGGTAGCTGGCGGCCTCGAGCAGAATCTGCACGTTCTGCAGAAAAGTGTTGATGTGCTTTTCCATCGAGTTCTCGCTGGTGTTGAAAATGTCCGAGAAGGGGCACCTGGGCTTGGCCCCCGCGGGCTCCTCGGGCTGGGCCGGGGGCTGGGGCGCGGGCGCGGCCGGGGCGGGGGGCACGGC